GGCTGAGCCGAACTCAGGTGACAGAGCCTTGTCATACTCCATGTGCTTTGTGTCTGAGGCCATTTCAGAGCACAGGTGGCCTGAGACTAGGGCTATAAAAAGGGTTATGACAACACATAACCACTTTTCATACCGAACCCAGGTGACAGAGCCTTGTCATACTCCATGTGCTTTATGTCTGAGGCCATTTCAGAGCACAGGTGGCCTGAGACTAGGGCTAATAAAAAGGGTTATGACAACACATAACCACTTTTCATATGGGGAGCAAAGGAATTCATCAAGCTAATGCCCCCAGAGGGTTTTGATCACAAAGGAGCCACAGTTGGCCTGACTGTGTCACCAAGTATCCATGCAAGGAAAAGGAGACAAAAAAATCCAGGTAGGGGCACCACCAGCAGACGCCAACCCTGGCCGTGTAACAGGTAGCAATACAGGGGAAGAAAGACCGAATCCTGGAAGTGGTGAAAAGCTGGGAGCACAAACAAAGAAGATACTCACAAGATGGGTTAAATGGCAAAAAGGACCACATACTACGAGAGGCCAGTGAAGTGGTCTGAGGAGCATACGTGCTACAAACCCACCAGGGACCCGGCTGGCTGGCTGGCAATCGCCTCAGAGCAGAGATAATTAATTACAGAAATGAACACTGTGATTTAAGACCACTGGTCGAAGAGACTGTGTGATGCAGTTCTAATACTTAAGAAATCGTTAAATCAGTGAGCCATGCTCACAACTGGTGATTTTTCTCCATCCTTCCTCTCTGACAGCCCACATGACCAAAGCAGCATTTGCTTTTCATTTGCCGTTGGATAGGAGGTATAGACAGAGATATAAATAAAACGTGGGGTTCATTAAATCACATCTGAAAGGCATCCAAAACACCTGGCATCAGATCATAAAGAACCCTGGAATGGGCGAGCTCTTGGGGTCACGTTGCTTAGAAAAGCGAAGAAACCTTTGCGGAGGCAGCCGGTCCCTTCCCATGTTCAGGGAGGGCTGTCATAGTCAGGTTCCCAGCCCGGACCCTTCATCTGCGCACCTGTTTGGATCGGCTCGGCACGCATGCACTTTACTCAGTTAGCATTTTTCATCTTCGACACACCACTTAAGCCAGTTGCACAAACCTGACAGGAGCAGTGCATTTTATAAATGAATTTCCCCCAGGGAAGCAGCAAGAACCCCATCAGCAAGGAGCACTGTCAAAGTTCCCGGGGACTGCATTCCTTCCACAGATCTCGAGAGGAAGTGCGCCACATCCTCTCCAAACAGGCTTCCCACTCCGGAGGCAGCCTGCTCACCTCTCCACCACCACCAGCACCTCCACCAGCACCTCCTCCAGGCCTCCTCTCCCAGCCGAATACAAGCCAGACAGCCCCATTCTGGGGGAACAGAATCTTGTAATGCAATTTTAAGGACAACAGCTCTAAGTGCCAGAAAGCTGGCTCCTTTTCCATGGATAAAAAGGCCCCCAAAGAGTCTTTTCACAACAAAATTATAACCTATGGAGAACGCAAGGAACAACACAAATAAAACTGCCATAAATTGAAACCGTCTTCAAATGGAACCTACAGGGGAAGTGTGATGACCCAGGCCTGCCAGGCTCCGGTTTTCCTATCTCAGACTCCTAGATGCTCCTAGTTTTTTCATGGACTACAAACAACTTCCCCACCAGGGTAGGCCTGAATACTCTCTTTGTAAGTCCTGGCTATGTCATCTCTTCCCTGGAGGGCCTCGGGATGATTTATAGCATTCATCAAATGTCCAATCACTGCCGTGTCCTCAGAAACACCCAAAGATTCCCCAAGCCACCCTCTGCCGCAGCACTCGGTGCACAGTGGGGACCCCAAAAATATGTGCTTTGATTTGATCTGTGCCAGAGACTACTCTTTGGTAACAGGACACCCTGCCCAGGCAAGCAGTACTCAGGGCAAGGTCTCTGCTAGGGGGTAGGTGCAACTACCTGTAGACAGGCAGCAAGGGGTGCCCTGCTGGCCCTGTGCAAGATGGTCTGAGGAGAAACACTGGCGCTTCTAGCTTGGAGGATGGCCCTGGCCGACTACCTGCGCCCTGGTAAGGGCTCTGCTGAGGCAAAGTTGGCTGGGTCCAAAGCAGCCCATTCTAGAGTTGGTATCCCCGGGGCCCAAGCCCCTGAGAGACTGCAGGCCAGAGGGTGGGGTGGGGTTCTGATTTGGAAAGGGGGGTGCCCGAAGTAATTAGGAGAGAGAAGTGGTGCACTGACTTCCCCTAACTTGAGACACTCTCAGGGTAGCAAGGGATGGTATGTTTCTCCTCTCTGTCATCCCCCAAGGCCTGGGACCGGCGAGGTGGGGTGGGGGTGCCGGCTGGCTCATGGGGGGAAACCCCACGGCAGGCCCATGCTGCTTTGGGATTTTCTACCCAACAACCCAGCACCAAGAGGGCTCCTGCTGGAACTAGGGAGCCGCTGGAAGGAAAACACCTGTCCCCAGCGCAGAGGGCGGGGACTCGGGACAGGTGGACTACACGAGCTGGAGAGGGGGTGAGGTCCAGAGGATGAGGTAGGGGTAGAAAGGATAAAATCCATTGGGTTGGATGTGCCAGCCCGGGACGAGGGCCAGGCATGGGCCCAGACAAGACCCTGGGAAGAGTGGCCTGAGAGGGGACCAGGGTTAGGAATGTTCCGGCAGGGCATGGGGGAGGGAATCCCCGGAGAGAACCAAGGGGGAGCGCCCCTGAACGGAACACTGGGGAGGGCTGCCCCAGGGGCCCGGAGTGCCAGCTACCGAGAGGGGCCCCGTCACTCACCGGCAGGTCCACTCTCACTTCGGTCCCGTCGAGCAGGAAGACGCGGCAGTAGAGGGTAGCCTTGGCGGCACCG